AGACTTTGAGCTTTCAAAGAATCTAATAATGAATAGATTTCTGCAGGCTGTGGCATTGGAATTTTGGTCAATACCACTGCCTTTGCACATGTGCAAATTTAGTGAAGTCACTTCAAGTAAAGATATTGCAACGCAAGCCAGTTTTACAGTTTATACTGGAGGATCATATGCTTGTGAAGCCATTAATAATTCAGTCTGTAATAATTAACATAACCATGTAAAGTCATCTAGAAGTAATGCAATGAGAGAGCAATTTATTACACTGATGTATTACATAATGGTAATGAGAAATGAGCAGAGCTTATTTTGTAAGGCTGAGCAATATGACATTTATAAATGCACCAAGTTTTGCTAAACTAAGGGATCATTAAAAATGCTACGAAATATTTCAAGTGCTTTCAGAACTGTTCAGACTCAAAATAGTTGAGTCATAGCTACTGTATGTGGCTCCAAAATCCAAATAGGAGTACTGTGAACACAGATGTCTGTACATTTATAAATACAACATTACTGGAACTTAGAAAATTCAGAGAACATAAGAATGGCCAGACTGGGTCAGACCAATGGTCCATTTAGCCCAGTATCCTGTCTTCCAACAGTGACCAATTCCAGATGTTTCAAAGGCACTGAACAGAACAGGGCAGTCATCAAGTGATCCATCCTGTGTCATCCCGGCCCAGCATCTGGCAGTCAGAGGCCTAGGGACACTGAGAGTATGCGGTTGCCTCCCTGACCATCGTGGCAATAGCCATTGATGAACCTATCCTCCATAAACTTACCTTTTTTTTTTTTTTTTTTTTAATTCAGTCATGGTTAGGGTTAGCAGTCATGAAACTCTTGATGAGGGACTGGGTAAAAATATAATCTGACTTAATTCCTTTTAAAAATCTTGGAAATATTTTGACACATCATGATGATTGTGTGTATTCAAGCATGTGCTGTGAAGCTGCTTAACACAGTGTGTGTGATGCAGCATTCAGTCAGATGCTTTGCTGAACTGGAGGAACAGGGTGTTTGTGTGCACAGTTCAGAACTCCCCTTCCCCATTTGTTTGAGCAAGAAAGAATCGCAATGAGGCAAGCTAGTGATATGGACTATGCTCCATGTGTGCGAGGAGATAGCGGAAGAGGGGAGAGAATACCATTCAGGCTGTGAGAAGGGAGACAATGGTGTTAAAGGCACCGGTGGAAGAGGGAAGATAGAGGAATAAATCATGCTCCACTTGTGATAGAGGAGATGGCGATAGGGAGAGAGAATAGTATCCACGACAATCCTGTGTGAGAGAATGAGGTCTGTAGGAAACTCATGTCTCTGTCCGTGGTGTGTTCGTGTCAAGGGGGCAAGTGGCAGGAGTCCTATAGTGAAGAGGTGAGTGTGAATTCTGATGCTTTAGCCATCTGTATTGCCCAGTGAGGCATGTGAAAAATTTCTGAGCAGAACTTAATCTTTCTGCATTAGTCTCCTTTCTGCATCTCATTCCATAAATACTGCCTTGTTCTCCTTGCTGTACACTGTGTTGACTTCTAAAGGGCACAGAGAATGTTGGCTGATTCTCCTTCTACGTTTACACACTTGTGAATACCAGTGTCTGTATTGCAAAGTACATGATTCTGTCTTACTCTTGCCTTGTGGCTGAAATGGAAGGAGAGCTGAAGCGAGTGTACTGGGATTTCATGGCACTTTCCTGGTTCCAATGTGCCTTTTAAATATAGGAAGTAATTTATTTTGGGGGGTGTTTGGAAGGAGATCTCCCTGAAACTGGAAAAGAGGAAAGAGAATGGGGCAGAGAGAGCACGCAAGTGATCTGCTTATCAAATTGAAGCATTGCTGTGTTCAAACTATAATAATCTTTTATCTCTTATTTCTCTGCTTTTGAGTTCTGAGGTAGTGTTTTCTTCCTTTTCTGTGGGTAGAAACTTTTTGTTTTGATTTTGTTCACATTAATCTGAAACAGACCCACTTTATTTATGAACCATTATCCTCTTGGGTGGGTCAATCTCCTTTAGTTGGCTTTGGTTAATAAACCCCTTGTGGTGGATAGAGTGCCTTCTAGTGGCTGAATCAGTAGTGTGTACTTGCCCTTTTCCATAGTCGGTGCTAGTTGGTAAGGGACACCATATTATCACAATGCAGTTTATTATCTCAGTAACCTGAGCTTTTCCAGGTTTCAGTCCAAAAGCCTTGGTAACTCACAGCACTATAGTATTTATACTTACAGAGGCAATTTCTCAGACACACAAACTGTGATTAAAATAATCATTGCTTCCTGATACCAAGAGAAGTCAAGGGTAAAATTTTCAAAGGCACCTAAGTGACTTTTTCAATAGGATTTGGCTCCTAAGTCACTTAGGGTAACATTTTCAAAGGCACCTAACTCAAGTTTTCAGTGTACAGCGTTGTCAGAGGCCTCTCTTCTGCCTGGGTGTCCTGGAAAGGTAGAAAAAGGGATGACTCTTCTTGTCGAAGAATAGAGTTGGTCACACACTCTAATTCACAGCTCTTGTTGTGCAATCTAGAATTGCTTAGTGCTAGCCATCCTGACTTGTGTCTTCTTCCTGAGATGAGAGAACAGGAGAAAGGGGAAGGATGGTTACATAAAAGCTTAGTTTAAAACTCAGCTATATCCCTGACTGAAGTCTTCAAATTAGGAAGCTCTAGAGGGTGATAGAACAGGCCATAAAGAATAATTAAGCAGTGGGGTAATAAGGTGGTAGCTTTTCACATACAAAACTTAATCTGAGCAATTCAAGCAATTCAGCAGCGTCAGAATTTGTGGGAAATATCAGATGGAATCATTTTGATCTAGCCTTAACAAAGAATAGGGTGACCAGATAGCAAGTGTGAAAAATCGGGACAGGAGGTGGGGGTTAATAGGAGCCTATATAGGAAAAAGCCCCAAATATCGGGACTGTCCCTGTAAAATCAGGACATCTGGTCACCCTAAGAAAGAGTGTAGGTAAAAGCAATCATAGCCCTGTAGAAAAATATGTCCGATAACAGCAAATGGCAGCTGTGTGTATAAAGCGCCTAGCTGACAGTTTACCTATAATTAGAGATTCTAAGGTAATTAATAGCCTTTTTGTATTCCATCTAGCACTTTCTGATTCATCATTGTGCAACTTTAGCTAATAATCGTCTTTTGTTAGATATAAGTATGTTTTTACATTCTTATGCCGACAATGCCAACAGCCAGACAATTGGTAGCTGTATGGGCTGATTACCTGCTACGTGAGTTAGAGCTCCCAATGAATGTTTTAGGGAATTAATCATTGTGATGCTATTATCCATACTTTTCCAGAATGCATGTTCCTGGTTACAGTTGTTGTTACTCAGGCTCAAGTGGGTGAGTGTATGAGTGTACTTCCATGTTGTCTGCATGTACAGAACTGTTTTTGATCACAGCTTACGCAATTAAACATACAATTTAATAGAGACAGTAACAGTACAGCGTGGTTATGGCTGTAAGAACAACGGGCCAACACTTTCGAAAACGACTGGTGATTTTGGGTGCCTGATTTTCCCCCTCTAAAATGATGAACATTCACTAAAAATCAGACCCCTCTATGCTGTCACAAATTGGACACTTTAAAGGGGAGGCATCTAGAATCACTAGCCATTTCAGGTAATCCTGACCCCTGAACTGTTTTTAGATTACATTATCGTAGCCGAGTGGCTTTATAATTGGCGGGGGGGGGGGTTTAATTTGGATTTTGTTTGTTTATTTATGTGTGTGTAATACATAGATAACTTTATATCATAAATATACTTGGATCCATAGATTTTGTCTAGGTATAGATTTAAGTAATTGGACTAATGGTGCTTCATAAATAATACATCCTAATCACTATAAAAGGGATGGTCTTTTATTCTCTATTCAGAGAAATTTCTAATTAACACCTTGCTGTTAAAGGGGTAGCAGGGATGCTGGAACAATTTTTATAATGGGCGTGCTGAGAGCCATTGAACCAAACAATAAACCCTGTATATGATGGGAACCACTTCAAGGCAGAGGGTGCTGCAGCACCCCTAGTTCCAGCACCTACGAATGGTAGTGTTGCTCTCCATGGAGCCGCCAAGCCCATCGTGTAACTAGACAGGCCCCTGGAGTTTGGTGGAAACGTTGCCCGGAGCATGGACAGTTGTGAGACACCCAGACATGTGGGGTCCTAGTATGTGTGCCAGGAGCAAGTTGTGCAGGAGCAAGAAGTGGTGCTCTGAAAGCTGATGCAAGAGGAGAGCTCAAACCAGCATGAGAGGGAAGGAAACAAAGTTTGGGTACCAACTCTGAAAGCTGATGCAAGAGGAGAGCTCAAACCAGCATGAGAGGGAAGGAAACAAAGTTTGGGTACCAACAAATTACCTGAGATGCCTCTCATAAGCAGCAATCATTAGCAAATATTGGTCTTAATTGAATTGGTCTTAATTGAATCCCAGAGAAACATCCCTATTTAAGCAGGTTCTCCAGTTTGGAGGAGAATACTGTGTGTATGCATGTGTATATTCTCCCCTCACTCTCTGGTGACAACAGCAAAATCTTTATTTTTCAGATTGTTTGGGTTGCATTGGAATAGCGTTGACCTTGGGTGGAGACAAAAGCTTAAATCAGGCGGAAGGACTTGAAATGTGGACAAAGAAGGTTGCTCGTTTAGTTGAGAATAGCACATGTCAAAGGTCCAACTACTTGCTTTTAGGAGGATTTGAAAGATTTATGATTCAAGCTGTTTTTTGGGGAGTAGGCTGTAGATTGGAACATTCAGCCATTTAGGATTTAGCATCCAGAAAAGGATTAAACAATTTGGATTTTCCTGGTATCAGTCAATTTACGGAGGCTGAAATTACACTGGTAACGTTCCAGTTAAGTCTGTTCTTTTCCACATGGCTGAGCCTGGAAGGAGCTCATCCAGAGTTTCAGGAATGTAAACAATTGTAAAATTTGTGCCAAAAATGAAGGAGGGATTATTCTGATGTTAATTTTACCTACTCTTTCTCCTTCCTTACAGGGTTGCTAATAATCACAAACAGAATCTAATGACTGTTGCTAATCTGGGTGTGGTATTTGGACCAACGCTGCTTCGACCTCAAGAAGAAACTGTTGCAGCGATTATGGACATCAAGTTTCAGAATATTGTGGTTGAGATTTTAATAGAAAACCATGAAAAGGTAATGTTTTCCCCTTACTTCTGAATTTTAATAAAGTTTATAATAAAAAAATGGTCTCCGTGACAACCCCAACACAAATTCTTCAATAAACCACCTTCTCTAGATGATCAGTACACAACATTGCAAGAGAGAAGATCTCTTCTCTTAGCTAAAGGAAAATTGCCATTATCCAAAACTAATCTGGCTCATACCTGCCCTTGGTACCTTGTATCCAGAAGGAGTGTGTTTGTACAGCACCTAACACAATGGGGCCCTGGTTCATGACTAGGGCTCCTATGAGCTACAGTAATACAAATAATAAATAATAACAACAACATTGGGATTCTGTTCTTTTTTTAGATGCTGAAGCATATTATTTCAAACTGAAATTTCCCATGAGGGAATCGTACTTCCAGTTAAATACTCGGGTGAAATCCTGGCCACACTGAAATCAGTGGTAAAACTACCTTGGTTGTCAATGGATATGTCTACACAGCAAAGAAAAACCTATAGCTGGGGTATGCCAGCCAACTTGGGCTCACAGGACTCAGACTGCGAGGCTGTTTCATTGCTGTGTAGACTTCTGGGCTTGGGCTGGAGCCCAAGCTCTGGGCCTCTCCCACCCTGCAAGGTCCTAGAGCATGGTCTCCAGCCCGAGCCCAGAAGTCTACACAGCAATGAAACAGCCCCACGACCCTGAGTCGGCTGGTGTGGATTTTTCTTTGCTGTGTAGACATACCAAATGGGGCTATGATTTTTTGGGGTAGAAATAAATAAGAGTTGAAGAATTCCATAACAGCAAGGACGAAACGTGGGAAATGGAATAGTATTTCCAAATTGAGCTTTAGTTGGGCTGAAATCACATAATCAACAATTCTAGTAACTTATTTTTCTGGTTATCTTGGCTTGAGCCCATTTCATAGTCCCTTTTTAAAAGTCACCATGTGTTATCTTTTAATTTGGGCAAAGAATTTTGCTAGTTTCAATAGGTCCAGTGATTAGGACATTAGTCTGGGAGTTGGGAGCACCTGTGTTCAATTCCCTGCTCTGCCCATACTTCCTGTGTGACCACAAGCAATTCACTTTGCCTCTCTGCGGCTCTCAGTTCCCTATCTGTAAAATGGGAATAATAGCTCTTCCCTACTTCATAGGGATTTGTGTGGATAAATACATCAAAAGACTATGAGATGGCTGTCACATAAAGGAGGCTTAAAACTGCCAACAGCAGTTCTAAAACAAGTAAATTTTCAAATGCATTTAACAAGTGGTTCTCTCTCTGGGTTTTTTGTTTGGTTGGTTTTGGTTTGGGAAGTGCTGCTTAGTTTTCTGGACTACTGGAATGAAGAAAAGAGACCAAACTTTCCTGTGCTCTTCCTCAATCTTTTGTCTGTGGCATATGCCATTTTAGCATGCTTTGACCTTGGCCAGATTGCTTGATAGAGCTCTTAGTAGGATTATATGGGTAATTAAAGGAAATCACTGGAAGTGGCCCTTCTTCAGAATAAAACGGCTAAACTAGTGGGCTAGTCAGAATATCACCATTCCATTAACTATCAGTTGATTGTCTGAAAAAGAAAGTTCCTACTGAAAAAAGACTGGGAGTGGCTGGGTCACTACAAAAAGTAATTTTCCCTCTGCTGATACTCACACCTTCTTGGCAACTGTTGAGAATAGGCCACGTCCACCTTGATTGCATTGGCCTCGTTAGCACTGACCCCCCCCCCACCACCACTTGGTAAGTCAACTCCCATCTTTTCATGTGCTGTAATATTTATACTGCTTACTGTATTTTTCACTCCATGCAGCTGATGAAGTGGGTTTTAGCCCACGAAAGCTTATGCCCAAATAAATTTGTTAGTCTCTAAGGTGCCACAAGGACTCCTTGTTGTTTTTGTTGATACAGACTAACATGGCTACCGCTCTTGATTCCTACATTCTAATAAGCCAAAGTGCATGATATAGGTGTCCCATCACGTGAGATGCTCAGTACCTTCAACTCTCATTGAAGAAGTTCCTAGCTCCCAATTCAGTGTTTTGGGCACAAAATCAGTGTCTTTCAAACAAGTGTCTGTACTGATTTAGTGAGAGGGCCACCATCAATAGGAGGCTCAGAACTTAGATTTACCAATGAGTATTCAACTTGTTTAGTTTAAATTAAACAGATTGCTGTATCACCACGGATGTTTCTAGGCACACGCTGCTGCAGACCCATGCTAATTTAGAATGACGAGACTCTGTTTAGAAAGACGTCACAGTTTATTCTTTCTCCAAAGCTCTAGCAGAAGTGAACGCACACATCTGACACATCAGCCATTCACAACATATTACTAAGACAGAGGACCTTCACCTTCTTTAAACCAGGGGTGGGCAAACTACAGCCTGTGGGCTGGATCCAGCCCCTCAGGGCTTTGGATCTGACCCGCGGGATTCCCGCTGCCGCGGGCTCCGCACTGCTCCTGGAAGCGGCCACGCCACGTCCCTGCAGCCCGAGGGGGTGGGGCAGCAGAGAGCTCCGCACACTGCTCTTGCCTATGGGTACTTCTCCCAGAGCTCCCATTGGCCCCCTCATACACCCCAGCCCCTTTCCCTGAGCCCCTTCCTGCACACCGCACCCACACCTCAACCACCTGCCCCAGCCCTGCAAGCAATTTCCCCTCCCAGGTGTGGCCCTCGGGCCAAAAAGTTTGCCCACCCCTGCTCTAAACAGATGCAGAAAGCCAGGGGCGATTGTTAATGATGTTCCATTAAATGTGGAAACAATGTGGTGAGAAGGGAACGGGGAAAACAGGGCAACTCCGATTATTCTCACAGAAATTGCTGTCATGTGGCATGTTGTCATGTGGCACCTTTGCATTTATTCAGCCCAGGGGAGCTATTTTATTTTCCTTTCCTTTTTACTTGGAACAGAATAGAAAAGATGGCTTAATTATGAAATTGCCTGACCTGAGGAGTGAGCAATGTGAATAGCAGGTAAATACCCTACAGGCCTCTCTATTGCTCAGTAGCATCCGCCACTGGCACACAGTGCAAGGTTCAGCATTACCTAGCATTAAACCCTCCCTTGAATCCCTTTAGGAAATTGACTGATTCTGTCTGAACGAAGTCTCTCACTATGCGAGCTGAATGCTCCATCGGCTGGCACTCTTTAAGGAATCAACAACAGATTTCAGATGTTCAATTTGCATCCTTCTAGACTGGAATTCTAATCTCTGGTTGCCTGTTAGGCTTCCTTTTGCCTCCTAGTATTCAGGGATGGTGAAATTAGCAGATTCCCATCAGCTATTTAAAGACAATTTGTGGCAACAGCATGCCTGTCCGAGAAGCGAGTCAGTTATGTCCATCCAGCAGCAACTAATGCTGCTGATGCTTGCCGTCTGTCATTTGGCAAAAAGGATGGTGTTGCTCATAGGTCAGCCTGGTCCAATTCACAGCGAGAGGACCATTTGCAAACTATCCTCCGTATTTGTGGAGTGCCCCTCACCATAGTATCTAACTGCTAATGGACTTTCCTGTCCATTCTTTTGCCTTGCCCCCAACAAAAAGAAAAATCCCTCATTATCTCAGTCAGAATTCTTGCATTTCCCCTCAGTGGTCCAGCAAAGGCACCAGGTTCTGAGGCGTCCAGGTCCCCAGCCATTGTCTTTCTTGGGTGGAAACCCACGTCTCGCTCCCTTCTGACAATTTCAACCACTGAAATGCTCAGCCTTGCTTCCTCTTGCTGCTGCCCTTTGACTCTTTTGCAGGGGAAGGAGGACTGAGAAGGCATTTTCTTACTATTGCTGTGTCACCTCCTCCGCTCCCTCTCCTGCACAGGGTTAGGATATGATGGTAACTGGTAACCACATTGAAAGCTATTTGAAGGGGTCAGTTCCTCAAGTGGGTGAGAAAGAGGAAAGGGAGGGCAATATCTAAGAATAGTCCTAACTGTCTCTTTGCATGAAATGTTGGCAGATCATGAAGCCGAGCCCTGTAGGCTGATGATATATTTGCTCTGCTTTTTAAACGCAGGTTTAATAGGCTGGATAACTCCACCGGGTTAAATGTTCAGTAACAATTTGACGTCTCACGCAGCACATCTTTCAGCTGTCAAACTATCTCCATTTGTAGGCTTTAGAATCATAATGTGCAGTGGTGGTGGTGGTTTTTCGGGGTGGGGAGGGAGGGTTATCTGGCAGGTTTGCATTTCATTAGTACTATTGATCTTTCCCAATGTAATTAATGACAACTGATCTCTAAAGCTGTCAATGGAAATGCGTGTGTGGGAGGATTTCGAAGTGTTAAGCCTCGAACTGACACTTTGAAAAATGAATTGCATTTGTGCCACTAATGTAAGTAAGTTGCATACTAAATGACTATGGGTCAGTATCACCATTTAGCATGGATTCACTGCAAATTATCTTCTAGGGGAAGAAGGCAGGAGTACTGGGGGAAAAACTTTTTAAAACCTAATTGGGCATAAGCTTTCGTGGGCCAAGACCCAGATGCATCTGATGAAGTGGGTTTTAGCCCACGAAAGCTTATGCCCAAATAAATTTGTTAGTCTCTAAGGTGCCACAAGTAGTGCTCGTTGTTTTTGCTGATACGGACTAACACAGCTACAACTCTGAAACCTTTTTAAAGCCTAGTATCCTTGTCATGTTGTTTGCTTCTTTAAAGTTGTCACCTTACAGTATATGTCTTAATATTAATTGATGAGAGCTGATAAAAGCCTTCCCAATGGAGATACTTAGGTGACTAGCACTATACAAGTGCATTGCATGTTTACTGCAGTTGCTTTACATTGATTTACACTGGGGACTCACATGTGGAGTGATTTAAATCACCAAATGAAAAGCCACAGTTTAAATCAGGGGTGCCTAACTTACAGACTGTGGGCCGTACACAGCCCACCAGAGCATTTCATAAGGCCCGCGGCCTGCTTCAGCACAGTAAACTAACGGGCAATCCATTTGCATTTTGTCGTCATGTTTACATCATTTTAGTTTACACAAGTGTGTAAATAGACAATAGTGTACACAGAA